CCCTCTGCATCACCCCTACAGCAAATCCCCTGTAGCACGCCCTCTGCATCCCCCCTATAGCATCCCCTCTACGTCCCCCCTACAGCAAATCCCCTGTAGCACGCCCTCTGCATCCCCCCTATAGCATCCCCTCTACGTCCCCCCTACAGCAAATCCCCTATAGCAAATCCCCTACAGCACCCCCTGCACCCCTTCTGCAACCCCACGATCACTCTTCCCCCTTACAGGAACTCCCCACCTGCAACCCTCCTGGTCCCCTAAAGCAGCCCCCTACAGCAAATTCCCTATAGCATCTCTCCTGCACCCTGTCTGTACCCCTCCAACAACCCGCCCCCATATCCCCTATGGGAACTCTACACCTGCACCCCCCCTGCACCCCTACAGCACATCCCCTATAGTGCCCCTCCTGCACCCTGCAGCCACACCCCCCTGCAGCCCCTATAGGAACTCCCTAGTGCAGCCCCCCTGCACCCCTCCCACAGCACCCCCATACAGCAAATCCCCTATAGCACCCCCCTGCATCCCCCACACCTCCCCACCCCAGTCCGCTCTAGTACCCCCTGCCCCGCTCCTGCCCCTGCCACAGCACCCCTGTACCTGCCTGTGCACCCCCAAACCTGACAGCCCCCCATACCCCTGGGTGCCCCCTCCTGTGGCACAGCCCTGTCACCCCCCGGCAGCCCCCGAGCACATCCCCAACCCCTGCACCCCCTGGGGCACTGCACCCCCAAGGATGGCGTGTCCCTCTGTCTGGGGGTTTGTGACCAAGGGGACACGTCCCTCTGACTGTGACCAGGGTGACATCCATGGGCAGGATCCCCCTTGTGTGACCATGGACAGGCTGGCACGTCTGTGACCAGGGTGGGATGTCCCTCTGTCCGTGACCAGCCTGTCACATCCTTCTGTGTGCCTGTGCCAGGTTGGCATGTCACCGTAGCCATACATAGAGAGACATGTCCTTCTGTGTTTCTGTCACCAGGGTGGGATGTCCTCTCTGTCCATGACCAGGCTGGCACATCCCTCTTTGTGTCTGTGCCAGGCTGGCACGTCTGTCACCAGGGTGGCATGTTTGTGACTGGTCTGGCACATCCCTCTGTGTGTCCATGCCCAGGCTGGCACGTCCATGCTGGGCTGTCACCTCCCTGCCCCATGTCTGTCCCAACTTGGTGTCCCCAGATGTTCCTGCAGCACCAGCCTGCACTGTCACCCCTGGAATCCCCTGCTGCCACCCTGGGGAAGGTGGCACACGGATGCAGTGGGGTGGGAAACAGGGGAAGCAGCTTGTCCAGAGATCCATGGGGTGGAGGAGCACTGGCTGTGCGCTGGGGTGACAATGGGGACGGGTGACAAGGGTGTCCCTGTCCCTGGCGCAGGTGCTGCGAGTGCGGGGCCTCCCTGTCCCACCAGTACTACGAGAAGGATGGGCGGCTGTACTGCAAGAAGGATTACTGGGCACGCTTTGGGGAGCTGTGCCACGGCTGCTCCGAGCACATCACCAAGGGGCTGGTCATGGTGAGCACCGGGGGGTCCCTGGGGGTCCCTGGGGTGGGACACGGAGCCCTGACCCACAGCTGAGCTCCTGGAAAAGGGTGAGGTGGGGAGGGAGTGCAGACCCCCAGCACGGGTTGGGCTTTGGGGGTTTGGTTTGCAGTTTAGGTGGGACTGAGGGAGGCTCAGGGTGGTGGGAGGATGTCCCTGCAGTTGTTCCCAGCCTGGTGGCACCTCTGTCCCCACCACCCTGCCCGCCCTTCCATTGTGCCCAGTGCCCCCGTGGGTGCTCCCAGCACCACGCAAACCCCATCACTCCCCCTCGGTGCCCCGGACACGGGGGTCCCGGGGCTGATGGCATCTGCCCACAGGTGGCTGGGGAGCAGAAGTACCACCCCGAGTGCTTCAGCTGCCTCAACTGCCGCACGTTCATCGGGGACGGGGACACCTACGCGCTGGTGGAGCGCTCCAAGCTCTACTGGTATGTGCCAGCCCGCGTGGGAGGGTGGGGACCGCATCCCCTGGCACCCCCCGCCCACCCTTCTCTCCCCTTGTCCCCGCAGCGGGCACTGCTATTACCAGATGGTGGTGACGCCGGTGATCGAGCAGATCCTGCCGGATTCCCCGGCTTCCCGCATCCCACACACCGTCACGCTCGTCTCCATCCCCGCCTGCTCCGACGGCAAACGCGGCTTCTCTGTGTCCATCGACCAGGGCTGTGGCACTGAGCACCCCCGCACCGTCCGTGTCCGAGAGTGCGTCCCTGTCCCCTCTGCCACCCTCCCCGCCCCGGGGCTGGGCCATTGTCCCCCTCTGCCACCCGCTGTCTCCCCTGTGCCCCCATGCCCCCTGTCCCCTTTGTCACCCTCTGTCCCCTCTG